CGTGTGGGACACTCTTTGATAATGTGTCCTTGTTGTTTACAATAATTACAGAACTTCTTGCTACAATTGCTAGCAATATGACCATATTCCTTGCAACTGTAGCATTGAGTTCTACTCATATCCCTACCCTTTCCTTTACCTTGAGCAACAAATGCAATAGTGACATCATTTTCTTTCTTGAAAGCATTTTGTGTGACAAGACGTTGCTCTTCACGAAGTAATTCCCTAAAGCAAACATCCAAAGAGGGAGACGGGTCACGATTCATCAAGTTAGAGCGAATACTCTCAAAGTCGGAGCATAATTTCATCAAAAATTGTCTCGCTTGCTTTGCTCATGAACTGCTTGAATCACTGATAGAGATTCAGTAGGTATTTTTGCATAGACAATATCTGTAAATTCAGCCCATAAGTTCTGAAATCCAGAAAAATAATCCTGAACAGAAAGACCTCCTTGAGAGTAATTAGTAATATCATACTCTAACTGAAAGCGTCTTGCGCTATTATCTTGGTTATAAACCTTTTGTAAGTAATCCTACATGGCCTTAGCTGTCTTGTATGGCCTGAGATTAAGAACAATAAGAGGGTCAATTGACCCTAGAATCCATGTCATCACCCGAGCATCTTTAATCTTCCATTCACCTAGCTTTGTTGCATCAGTAGGAGCAGGATCGCTTCCATCTATATGGCCCTATAGTTCTTTGCCAGTGACAAACAACTGAAACTGAAACTCCCAAGAAGAAAAAACTTCAAAGACTCAAGAAAGCAACTAGAATGACCAAGAACAAAATTCCCAGGTGGTAGGACTGATTGTCGATGAACAGTCAACCAAAAACCAAGATTTTCCAAAAACAATTAGAAGGAACCACAAATGACTCTATGAAACAAGACAGCCAAGAGAAGGCTCTAATACCATGTCAATTTTCTGCTGAATGTCTCTCAAAGTGAGAGTCTTTCCTTTATATAGAGAAATAAAGATTATACATCCCTAAAGATCCGTCATTCCTATCCCTAAAGATCAGCTATTCTATCTCTACAAATCTGCTATTCAATCCCTCTAAATCTACCTTGCTATCCCTCCAAATCAGCTATTCTATCACAATATTTATTCCTTTGATTCTACAACAAATGTATATGGTCATGCTAATTTATATCACTATATAATTACATTAATATATACAATCATTTAGTTGTCCATCATGCTAACAGCACGGAGGTAGAATTAGGTTAATTTTGTTGTATTCTTCATGAATGAAAAATTCGAAATATCAAATTTGAGCATGTATTTTGTGGTAGAATTAGGTTATTTGTTATAATTTTGGTGATTCTACAGATTCTTTCGAGACATTCTGTGTCTACAGATTTTTTTGGGACCACTTTGTCTCAAATGGTGTCGCTAACAGGTGCCTTGTTTCTTCGTAAAATTTGGAGTTGTCGTCTTCGTCGATCCTTGTTTATGCTGGAGTAAGGTGTATATAGTTTCCCCTTTTGTTTGTTAATTAATTCTTCTTTAGCTATTACATGTGCCCTCAATCTTCACTTATCTCTTTATACTTATTGATTTGTATCTTCATTTTTTTTTCTTCTAAATCACTAGTTTATCATTCTTCTAAATCTGCATGTCTTTGCTTATTTGCTGTATCTCTTCAATCCAATTGAATATATTCCAAGGCAGTTTGCATTTATTCACAAGTATTCTTTGTAAAAATATTGAATATGGTTGGATCATGATATGATCCAAATGTTTGTTATTACAATGCTTGATAGCTTCTAGGATAGCCAGTGTCTCAGATTTTTTTGGCCCTTACCATATCTGTAATTCTGGCCAGGAGCAAGCATAGCTAAAGGGTCATAAACAGACTTCCTCTGTACAAAAACATCCCATTTTGGACCAAAGTGTGTCCTCTATTGTTCCTGTATTGTTTTATATAAACAAATGTATAATCTTATATAAAATGTTCCACTTAAGCTTACTTGATCCCAATACTTGCTTAGGACAATGCATATATCTAAGGACACTGCAAATATGGTATGTCAACCTTACTCGAGCTTATGTGTTTAGAAACCTTTACTCTATGTCATTCATTTATCTTACAACACTTTTTGTCTATGGTTATAAATATTCAGAGGTAGTGCCATTGATTTGAATTAATGTATTTGTGACTGGGAAATTGAAGGAATGATTCTTGTTTTATTCTTGTTTCATACCGAGGATGAAACTGCTGCAAAATGCTTAGGTTTCATTCTTGTTTGATTATTCTCTACTACTTGCTTTAAAACCCTTCATATTTAATTCTCTCTATATTTGTGTTTTGCACATCTAAAAGCAGATTGCTTGTTTTCCATTTTTCTACTGTTATTCAAGATTAGGTGTGGTACTGAAAAAGTAATATTTAGGCACAAGAACTTTTCAATATGATTCTGCCTAATTATTCTTTTAACATAGACAGACCAACGTAATGATAAATAACGTAAGTTTGAGTCGTTTTATATAAAAAAATGTATAATCTTATAGAAAATGTTCCTTTGTTTAATTTATCAGGTCTGACCCCTTTTCAATATTTGCTTTATCTGGAACTGGAATTAACGGGAGAGCTTCTGGATCTTCAGGGATAAAGAAAGTTGAGGTACTCTTTCCATTTCTGCATATACTGTTACATAAAAATGGTTAAATATGTCTCTAATCTTATAATTTTCTCATGAAAATCTTATAGGTGATATTGTCTGCTAATCTTGTTTTTTCGATGGATAAATCTTGGATTAGAATGCCAAGGACCACAAAAGAATATTTGGTTGGCTTGATTCAGTTTCTAAAATTTGCATTTTTAAATGGAGCTATAGAAGATAGAATGAAATGCCCGTGTCCAATCACATTCGACTTCATCAAGTCAGGCCGAATCACAACCGGAACCATTCAAGAAGCGTGTTGTTGGACGTGAGTCTATGGAGTATTGGACCGTAGAAGCAATAGGTAAATTTTACACTTCTGCTTCCTTTTTCATCATATTTTTTCTTTTTCTTCTCCATTTCTCTTCTTAATCTTCTTCTTGTTGGAGGGGCTGGCAAACTTTTTTCCGCAAAGTCATTTGGTTCGCGGACAAAGTTAGCATCGTAGCTGTTTTAGTTGGTCTTTTTTTATCATCACTGATATTAGGTGTTTGATGGAATTGCAAGTTAATTAGTTGGTGTGATCTATGTAGGTGAGTTTTCCTTTACTTTCTGTCTGTCTCGCTTTCCTTTACCACTCAAGTGTACAACATCTTTCCTGCTTAGACCCCTTATTCTCTTACCTAATGAAAGAGTAGTCCACCTCCTCACTTAGTACATTAGTCTCAAATAAGGCGTGCATTTTTACTTATTCTACATGGTGGTACATTAGTAATAGATATTGTCCTACGTGAACAGAGGGCCACGGATACACATGGCTAAAGAAGAAATCGTTCAAGACGGATAGAACATGCTTGACTTTGTAACAGGACGAGAGGTGTATTTATCGTCTTGGTAGAATGAAAATGATCCAGCTCCTGGTGATTATTCATATCACTGTGATCCTTCAGGATATCCACAGAACATCCTGAAGAAGGGTCAAATGTGATATATCACGCTGGATTAGCAGCCATTTGCAAGCTTAGTTTACTGGAATGTTGAAATATGATTTACTGGAATGTTACTTGTAATTACGAGCTTAGTTTTTTTTTGTCATTTTTAGTATTCAAGCTTAGCTAAATACTACTTCTTTTATTGATATATAGCGGGTTGTCATTTATTGGTATAGGCTTAAAATCAAAATCTTTGGTTATTTCATTTCTCTCTTGTCCATTCTGTCAAATCTTGTTCATAATGAGACATCAAGTGGTGGGTGTTTGCTGCTTCTAATCTCAATCTTGTTGATGTCTCTAACTGCATGTTTCTCCATAGCATGTTCCTGTTACTTGTTTCTTGTTTAAAAACTTCAATTTCGCAGCATGTCTCAAGTTTATAACTGTTTTTTGAACCCTCTTTTGTTTGAGTATTGAGTCTGCATATTCCCTGGTTATATTGATATATGCATTCTCGTTTTAAGCTCATTTTTCCTGTTGAATCGAGTCTTACCTAAAATTTTACTTTCCAAATGCTACATCTCCTTGTCGTTATCTTCTCTTATCAAGAAAATGGAAGAGTGTCAAAAGATGTTCTCCAGTTATTCAGAAAATGATACAAAGTGGCTTCCTTGAACAGGATCTTTGTAACAGATTGTATATTGAAGGCTACCAACTGGCTTTGTTGTCATTTCATTTCTTTTTCTCTATTCCAGATTAAGAAGGAAACAAAAAGAAACTCAAAGTGAAAGTCAAAGAAGTGCTAAATTTATCTGGAGAAGATCGTATTGTGATCAATTTTGATTACCTAGATTGTCCATTTGGAGAAGCACAACCCCTTCTTTATGGTTTTTGTGGAATTTTAGCTGCTGATTCCTCCTTATTTCCAATGCACTTCGACAAATGGCCGAATATGCCTATGTCATACTTTGATCGCGTCTTTGATCAACTCATAGTGGTATAAACTATATATTCTGACTACTATACCTATATTCTTTTCTTGGACCTTTATATTTGGATTTAATATATAAGCTAACTAGTGTTTATTCTTGAAGCCTCGATTTTTTTTTGAGACAACCGACTTAGTTGCACGACGATATGTTTATAATTGTATTTCAAAGAAGTGGAGTGCAAATAGGTTGGACATATGGGAAGTGTTCAGTGATCCACTTAAGAGCAAAACTCAGATTATGGATAATGTTCCACCTGGAATTCCAAGAGATCAGTGGACTTCTTAATGTTAATTATCGTTATAAAAAAGAAACATAGGTATATATATTTAATTGTTTCAACTAGTATGTGTAGTCATATAATTACTTTTTAATGATTGAATTTCATGTACCTTTTGTAAGGAAAATGTGAAACAGAAATGCTGAAAATCGAAAGAAACAAATCATTCCACACACAGCTGGATCCAAAGCTAACTCTAGAAGAAGGGGTGAAATGGTTAAAGATTTTAGTTCATTTCATTTTATTTTAGTTATTAAGCTAACTTATTGTGTAATTACTTTTAATTAGTTAAGTTATTCTGAGTTGATTATTTTGCTTATAGATGGCTGAGACCGATCAAATGTCTGGATGAGCATAACTTTATCTTGCTACTCATAAGAATGTAAATGGAGCATATGTTAATGAAGCGGCAAATGTTGTATGTGTAAGTTTCTTAAGGGGGAAATAATAGCACTCCAGTTCCTTGGTTGTTTCAAGTCTGTCCCTTTTCTACTAACAAGTTAAGCCAATCAGGTTATGTTTAGTCTCTTATTTATTTTAAACCTGAGATTCTCTGTTAATGTTTTCGTCATTGCTATTGTTCAAATCAGTTTGATGGTGCCTTGTTTAGTATAGTGTGCTGTCATTTTGAAATGGTTTAAAATCCATGTTTGAGTAAATGATTTAAAATTATGCCTAACTACTGATCTCTCACTTTGATTGAATATGTGCATGTACTTTGTTTAAATATGTGAATGGCTAACCCAGGAAAATCTATTATGTGAATGCCCAACTCAGGAGTATGTGAATACCTAACTCAGGAATATGTGAATGCACTTTGTTTATATTTAGGTAATACATCTCTGTTCTCAATTACTTTTTAACATTTCGATAATGTGTTTTGTGTGTGTACAATACTCAGGAAAAAATTCAGCAAACTTTGAGTCAAAGCACTGTGGATGAGTCTATAATATCACCAGATGATGCAGTTGGCAAAGTGCTAGGAAAAGAGCACTCTGAAAGGGTAAAGTGTTTGGGATTAAGAGTTGTTCCCACTAGAGTTTTTAAACAAGAAAGACCTCGATTCAGCGGTATGAATGCTTCGAGTGTTTCATGTCCATCCAATTGCCAAGAGAACTACAATAAATTATTGAATTCTCACAATCAAATGATGGCTGCTTTCAAGTCATATATGATAATGAAAGAAGGGACATTACTAGAACAATTTGTGGGGTTATTTGCTCCTCCTCCTACAATGGTAAATATAATGTTTACATTCTCTCTTCTTGAATGACCTTATTTATATATCAGGTATGTTAGTTTAGTTGCAGCCATTTTCTGGATCCACTGTGTTTTCTAGTGAAATATCTACTGAGATTAGCTTCTTTATTTCTGGCAAAGTTTTATGAGCAAGGCAGTACTCATGGTCTAGAACATATTTTTGCATATTCTTGTATGTTAGTAATGACCTATTTGTTTATGATTGGCATTGACTTTCATAGTAGAGAACTTAGTATTGTTGTTCACATGCTTAGTGTTAGCTTGCATTATTTCATATTTTATCGGGGTAACATTCTTGTGATTGTTTCTATTTGCTTCAACTTTACATGATCTGCATTTTACAAGTCCTACAGAATGTAAGTTATAAAATGAGAAAGAAAATGTGGTTAAAATTGAAGAAGGTCAAGTTCACTAAAAATTCCCATGATTGCTTCTGGAGCGTAGAATGTGGAGTGTTGTTTGGTCTGGATTAGGAAAAAAGAATGTGGAATTATGAGTATTTGTCTATAGAACTTTGTGGAGTGTTGTTTGGTCTGGATTAATATAAGAGCAAGATAAAAACTTGTGATTATTTTACTATTATGTGCAATAAAGAAGTAGCAACGTCCAGAACATATTTTTGCATATTCTTGTATGTTCGTATTGACCTATTTGTTTATAATTGGCATTTGTATTGACACTCATAGTAGAGAATTTAGTATTTGTTTACATACTGTTGTTGACATACAATATGTAAGTATTTTTTTTTATAAATCACCATAATGATTGGATTAGGTTTCAGTCCTAATCATTTTATTGCATTCAAAAGAGATTACAAAAGAAGGGTGAGAGCATTTATCATATCACTTATTGTGTATTTTCCTTTGCAGATAGGTGATGCTAGTGAAAATAGTCGTAGTGACAATCGTTGAAGTTCCATGAATAGTTGCAGATCATTTCTTGAGTATGGATGCTAGTGAACTGTCACGCCCCAAGCTACCCCCAAGACGCGGACACGGGATCTAGGACCACAAGTGATCCCAAGCTAACCCTGCTGGCATGATCATGAGCATACTAAAGATAATAAACTGATGCGGAAACTAAATCATAAATAAATCTGAAAAGATAGGGAATACCCATATACTATAACTGAATATATCAAATCTGAGAGTTTAATACAAAAGAAATATATTAACTCAATACTAAGCTGAATCTATCTATGTCTGAAATAAGCCTCTAAACTGACTAGAAATGTTGGGACATGCCCCAACTAGATCTAGCAAAACTGAAACTAAAGACTAAAAG